AAGTTGGAATAAAAGTAACCCTAAGTGCCCCTCCCCCATTCTTGACAGCAAGTGAATCCTCCTGATGGCTAGGCAGCCCTTGTCCTGTTCAGGTCCAGATGTCAGGGGCTCGGGCTTCCACTTTCTTTATTTTTCCAGAAAAGGATATATTTTTCTTCAAGTAACTGCAAGGAGGAAACCAGAGGGAGGGGCCCAGGCCGGGACTAATCATGGCTACCTCCTCCCCAGCTGAACAGGGGGAGAAGGTGGCCCTACACTCTCTGCTGTCAACACAGGCCCCCTGCTCACTGTGATGCAGCATCCTAGGGCAGAGCCCCACCTTCCCTGGGCTGGGGCAGTGGATTCCTAGCCTCCTTTCCCCCTGGCCCCTCCCTAAGACCATCTTGGAGGGTAGTGTGGGCAGCACAGGAGGCAGTGGGGATGAACATTGGGCGCTGGCAGCAGCAGCAATGACAGATGTCTAAGAATGGAACAGGGAACAAAAACAACACAACTGTCCAGAGGGAGTTTGTGAACAGAGGAAAGATGGAACCAGAACCTTGGGGGGTGGGGAGGAGCGGGGAGTGGGAGTGGGCAAGGCTGGCACCTTGTTAGTGCCCCATGTGAGGGGAGGACACTGGAGGCAGATGGTGTCCCGGGTTCACACCCCTCCCGCCTTCCCTCCTGGGCCCCAGGACAGGGATTGCAGAGCTCATTTAAGGCCTTTTTCCTCCAGAAAACTCCAGTGTGTAGGTGGGTCACTTTTTCAAACCACACACAATACACACACACACACACACACACACACACACACACACACACACACACACAGTGTGAATGTCATTTCAAGGGACCTCCAACTTCATTCCCTCTGCAGAATTACCTTTTGTGCTCAGAATTTCATCCTGGGGACACAAAACGTCTTTAAGCCACTTCATACAGTCTCCAACTGAGGTCCTATTAAGGAGTTCGATCCTATGTGTGTCACGCATCAATGTTTTATATAACAGTCTGCCTTCATCATTTAGCTCTGTCCAGTTTCCGTTGTTTGGGTCATAGTGGAGAGATATCTGTCCATCCAATCCAAACTCCCAGGATACTCCGGTGCGCCCATTGGATTCCTCCTTACACATCATGCTGCCCTGCAGGGAGAGAGGACCTGTCCCCACCACCGTGGGAAAGAGGTCAGCTTCAGGTCTTGACAAAGCCTTTGTCCCCACTGGTGTCCAGCCCTCAGCTCCCTCTTATCTCCTGGTCCTGCTCTGTCCTCTGTGGCTCCTGAGTCTCTTGGGTGGGACCAACTTCCAATATTCACATAAACACAATTGTTCCCTAACCCTACTACCCTGTTCCACCTCTACCCCGGGTTTTGTAAACTTACCGCTGGTTGCAGGAATCTCTGCTTTAAAGTCAAGCAGGGTCTTCTTGAACTCCTCCACCATGTATTGCACAGGGTCGCTGTGCTCATTCCAGGCCTGTGTGCCATTAATCTCCAGAACACTGAAGAGTTTGACCTCCTGGCTACCACAGGTATAACGAAGAAATGTGTTTCCATTGACCTGGCCTTGAATTTCACACCATGGTTGTCCATTAGGAATGACTGTGAAGTTATAGCCCAGAGATTTAGCACCTGTGAGGAGAAAATGCAGGGGAAGGTTGGAGTTGGAATAAAAGTAACACTAA